TGATGAAGGGTGATAAATTAAGTGAAAAACAGTGTCCAAGGAATGACTTGGAAAGAAAACAAATGAAGGACATTCCATATGCTTTGAGGCTACAAATCATGCTTTATGGTTGCGAAATTTCATCTCAGGACTTGGTGTTGTTGACTCAATTGCCAGGCCGCTGAAGATATATTGTGACAATACCGCAACAGTTTTCTTCTCTATGAATGGAAAGTACTCCAGTGGTTCCAAACACATGGAAGTAAAGTACTTGGTTGTTAGAGAGAGAGAGTCCAGAAACAACAAGTGTTAATTGAAAACTTAAGCACCTCTCTTATGATTGCTGATCCATTCACAAAGGGATTGCCACCAAAGACATACAAAGAGCATGTTATCAGGATGGGTCTTTTAAGCAACCCTTGATGTGTATGGTTAATCATGAGTGCTTATTTTTTGACACTATTTGCGCAATAATAATTTTGTTTCTGTTTTTCCTGTTCTAAAAGTGTGTGTACACATTAATTTGAATATTGATAAACAGGGAATGTCTTAACAAGACAAATTACAGGGGCCTACACTTAAAGATATGGTTAGGAGTATGTTAAGTTACTCAATTGTACCTATTTCATTGTGGGGTGAAGCTTTAAAGACTGCAATGTATATCTTAAATAGGGTTCCTAGTAAGGTGGTCCCAACAACTCCTTTTGAGTTGTGGACTGGTAGGAAACCTAGTTTGAGACACTTACATATTTGGGGTTGTCCAGCAGAGGCAAGAATCTTCAACCCACAAGAGAAAAAGTTGGACTCGAGAACAATATCTGGATATTTCATTGGTTATCCAGACAAGTCTAAAGGGGACAAATTTTATTGTCTTAATCACAGTACGAGGATAGTGGAGACTGGTAATGCTAGATTCCTAGAGAATGGTGAAATTAGTGGGAGTGAGAAAATACGAGTGGTAAATTTCGAGGAAATTAGGGTGGATGTGCCAACATTTGACCCTTATCGAAAAATTATTGTTCCTCAGACTATTCCACAAGTTAAGGGAAACGAACAACATAATGAAAATTCTTCACCATCTCATGTTTTACCACTTCATGAAGATATCACTATTGAAAATATTGTAGAACCACCACAACTGGCAGTTTTGAGAAGATCTTAGAGGGAACGAAAGCTTGCCATTCTAGATAATTACATGGTGGATCTACACTAATCTGATTTTGATATTGGGATTAACAAAGATCCAGTCTCATTTTCCCAAGCCATGAATAGTGATGATTCTTCTAAATGGGTCAATGTTATAAATGAAGAGTTAAAATCCATGGAACAGAATAGTGTTTGGGATCTCGTCGAATTGCCTAATAACTGTAAAAAGGTCGGGTGTAAATGGGTCTTCAAGACCAAGCGTGACGCAAAAGGCAATATCGAACGATTTAAAGCCAGACTTGTTGCCAAAGGTTTTACTCAAAAAGAAGGCATAGACTATACAGAGACCTTCTCTCCAGTATCTAAGAAGGACTCGCTTAGAATCATCCTAGCATTGGTAGCTCATTATGACTTAGAGTTGCATCAAATGGATGTGAAAACTGTTTTTTTAAATGGGAATTTGGATGAAGAAATTTATATGGAGTAGCTCGAAGGATTTGCAAAGAAAGGTAAAGAACATTTACCTTGCAAATTAAAAAAAAAATCCATATATGGCCTTAAACAAGCTTCTAGGCAATGGTATTTAAGGTTTAATGATACCATTATCTCTTTCGGATTAAAGGAAAATACTGTTGATCAGTGTATATATCTGAAGGTTAGTGGGAGCAAGTTCATTATGTTGGTGCTAATGTGGATGACATTTTGTTAGCTAGTAATGACCTTGGCTTATTGCATGAAACTAAGGAATATCTCTCCAAAAAACTTTAAAATGGTCGATATGGGTGAGGCAAACTATGTTTTTGGCATAGAGATCTTTAGGGATTGATCTCGAGGATTGCTAGGACTATCTCAAAAAGGATATATTGATCGTGTTTTGGAGAGATTCAATATGCAGTTTTGTTCAGCCGATGATGCACCCATCATGAAGGGTGATAAATTAAGTGAAAAACAGTGTCCAAGGAATGACTTGGAAAGAAAACAAATGAAAGACATTCCATATGCATCAGCTGTAGGGAGCTTGATGTATGCCCATACATGTACCAGGCCAGATATTAGTTTTGCAGTTGGAATGTTAGGAAGATTCCAAAGTAATCCTGGAATGGAACATTAGAAAGCAGTAAAAAAAGTTATGAGATATCTTCAGGGAACAAAGGATTATATGCTCGCCTATAGGAGATCAGAACAGTTGGAAGTTATCGGATACTCAGACTCAGATTTTGTTGGTTTCCTTGATAGTAGAAAATCTACATCGGGTTTTGTTTTTCTACTAGCTAGTGGAGCAATTTCATGGAAGAGTGTGAAGCAGTCCACTATTGCTTCATCTACTATGGAGGCTGAGTTTGTGGCATGCTTTGAGGCTACAAATCATGCTTTATGGTTGCGAAATTTCATCTCAGGACTTGGTGTTGTTGACTCAATTTCCAAGCCGCTGAAGATATATTGTGACAATACCGTAACAGTTTTCTTCTCTAAGAATGGAAAGTACTCCAGTGGTTCCAAACACATGGAAGTAAAGTACTTGGTTGTTAGAGAGAGAGTCCAGAAACAACAAGTGTTAATTGAAAACTTAAGCACCTCTCTTATGATTGCTGATCCATTCACAAAGGGATTGCCACCAAAGACATACAAAGAGCATGTTATCAGGATGGGTCTTTTAAGCAACCCTTGATGTGTATGGTTAATCATGAGTGCTTATTTTTTGACACTATTTGCGCAATAATAATTTTGTTTCTGTTTTTCCTGTTTCTAAAAGTGTTTGTACACATTATTTTGAATATTGATAAACAGGAAATGTCTTAACAAGACAAATTACAGGGGGCCTTTCAGGCAAATAATTATATATCCCAATAAAGGATTGGGTTGGTGAAGGTTATCAATGGTGTGGTGCATAGAAGGAAATATGACATAAATGTTATATAACCGCTATGACTCACATTGGTGATCTGAAGTAATCACAGTATTATAGTTTCTAATATATCTGAACTTATTGGCTATTTTTTAAAATTCATGATCACATGTCAAAGTTTTAGTGTGGAATCCAATGAGTCAAAATTTTTTAAGTTGCATATTTTTGAAAAAACTCATAATTGCATCATAATCGGCTTAATGGGCCAAGTGGGAGAATGTTGGATTTATTTTTCTAGTGTGGCCCAATAGCCTACATATTTTCTACATGTTTTAATTTATTTGGACTCCACAAATAGATAAAGCCAATATTTGAGATCAAGTTCAGTAAATAGAATTTTAATATAATCACTCTTCTAAGATAAGAAGGAAACCTTGATGGATTAGGAATTCTTCTGATAGAGTTTATCTGGCCCTCTTCTCTCCTCTATATAAGGATGGGTGACTCCCCTTTCATATCATGAGTATTTTTCCATCACTTTAAGTTTTATAGTCATCCTAATTAAGAGAGACAGAGAGAAGAAGGTGAGCCAAAATTAAAGGTTCAACTCTAAGGGGTATTTTCTCAACTTCTCTAATTCAATGGCTGAGAAAGGTATGTTCGTTTTATTTTTGAGTTGAATTGAATTCAAGATCCTGTTAAGTTTAATTCCGCATTATTATTATGGTTACATGTATTATTAAATCTTCATCTCTCTCCACCAACAACGGTGGCAGAGTTGAAGCCACATGGTGCATGACGAAAAGCGACGCCAGCGACCAGGCTCTGCAGACGGCACTGGACTATGCGTGCGGCGCCAGAGCAGACTGCGCACCGATTCAGTCGTCAAGGCTGTGTTACCTTCCAAACACGCTTCAGTCCCACGTTTCCTATGCTTTTAACAGCTACTACCAGCGCAGGGGCAATGCCCCTGGCAGCTGCGACTTCTCCAACACCGCCACCGTCACCAGAACTGACCCCAGTTATGGATTTGTGAAGTTCAATGCCTATGCAGCAGCTAGAACTTTATATCCACCTCCAGCAAAAGCGCAGTGCAGATCTGTTCATGCGCGTTCACTTTGCCAAGGAAAATACAAGCAGGTTACTCCTACCACAAGTCAAAGTGTAGGACAGCGGCAACATGGGGTGATTACCAGATCAACTCTGCTAAGACCTGGGGTCCGCTGGCATGTGAGTTGGCACGACATGCTGTAGTTCTTAAAGTTAATGATTGGGTCTTCTTTCATGGTGGCCTTCTCCCTCATCATGTCACCTTTGGTATAGAGAGGATGAATAGGGGAGTATCTAATTGGATGGGAGGTCTCAATGAGAGAGACGATAGTCCAAAAACCTTCTTTATAGCCACTTAGGGTTATAATAGTGTTGTTTGGAATCATTTGCACTCAAGAGACATATCTGATCTAAATGGACATCAGATTAATCAGATTCAATCCATTCTTGAGGGGTCAGTGCAAGTTTTAGGTGCTAAAGCAATGTGGTGGGGAAACTACAGGAGCCAATCGTACATACAATTGTAGCATGTGGCATATTGATGACGGCATGTCTAGTGGAGTTCTTAATTCACAACTAGGAGTTCTAGGAATAAGAGTCACGAAAGCACGGGTGATAAGAAGCAAAAGGGACACTTGTAGTGAACTTCAGACCCATGTTCTTGAGACCAAAATGAAGAGTTTGGCGAGAGCAACATTTTGATCCGTGGAGATCAAAATTCGACAAAATCGAATATTTTGATTTTTGCTTGTTTCCTCTTCAAAACTTGAGGTAGGGATTTTCTACACTTTAATATGATTTTTAGCTTAGTTATTTGCTATTGTGTATAGATAATGAGATTTGATTGTGATTTGGACAAATCTAAGATTTTGGTGTGAAATGAAAATAGGGGTTTTTAATGAATATGAGGTAAATGAGTATGTGGTTTGAATATAAGATCATGTGTACCAAAATAGTTGATTTTGGGTGTTTGAGTCAATGTTGGAAAAATGGAGATTTTTGCCCTAATTTGATAAAATGATTATTTTGTATAAATAATTGGAATTAACATTGAATATGTTAATTTGGATGGTTATTTATATATGTGGTGAAATTGGTTATGTATTATCTCACACCTTTGAAAATTTTAAATAATTATTTATCTTGAGATTTAATATGTGTCTAGAGATAAATGTATTGGGCTATCGGTAAAAGATAGTCATGATTGTTGTAGAAATTGTATGAGGATTAGGCGATTTAATACTAATCTATTGAATGGTTGTCATTGAATATGATCGTACTATAAATACATTGTATATGTATGTTTATTGGGAGGAGATAGGAAATGTACTCCATATATGATTATGTTTATAAATACATTGCATATGTATAATTGTTTGGGAGGAGAAAGGGGATGGACTCCATTTAAAGCAAGTTGGCAGGAGTATCCTGGGTGAAAGACCAGAAATTTTATATATAAATGGGTGCCGAGTCATTCGGACGAAATATCCGTAAAATGGCATATTTGAGAAAATATAAATAGGTGCCGGGTCCTTCAGACAAAATATCCGTAAAATGGCATATTTGAGAAAGTATAAATGGGTGCCGATTTCTTCGGACGAAATATCCGTAAAATGGCAAAGTTTGAAGTGTTTATATGTGTTTTGCATAATTGGAAAACCATTGAGTTGTAGTCTCATTTTGGTTGTTGAAAGATAATGAATTTAACTCATGAATTGAGTAGTACATATGAATTGGAAATGAATTGAAAGAAAATGGAATAAGATTGGTTTTAGTGGTATATAGATATGCAGGCCTTGTGGATGCTTCCACATCGGTATTGTTTATGTACGTGGTATTTATACCTTTACTAAACCTCATAAATTGTGTTAGATTATTTCTACTGGGCAGTTGGCTCACCTTATATGGGAATACCATTTTCAGGTGCAGATGAGGTGTTTCCTCCAAAGCAATAGCGTGGATGGATTTTAGGGAAGCAAGAGCTTCTTAATTATGTCTTGTTATGTGTGTATGTTGGTATTTGTAAAGCTAAGGGCTTAAGATGTAATGAGCGAGACTCAAGTTGTGTAACCCAGCAATGACTTAGAAAGATGTAAACCTACATGGCATTTAATTGTTTGTTAAATAGTAAACTCTGATGTACGAAAGTATGTTGTTTCTCATATTTATTCAGCATATGAAGTTATCTTTATTGTATTATTTTGGAGGCGTTACAAAACCAAAATCCTAGGGCTGTGTTTGGTTGTATTTTCTAAATATATTTCTATCCCTTATTTGCGTTTGATGTTTGTTTACGGTTTTCAAAAGTTAATTCCACATTCAATTTTGAAAACTCTGTCTAAGGCGAAAAAATTTGGGCTAACCAGTCGTCCCATTAGATGTCCCATAGGTCGTCTAGCCTGTTGACCGAAACAGTACATTTTTTTTTTTTTTTTGTGCAAGTGACATATGTTAATTTTTATATATTCAATAAAAAAATATTTTCTGAATTTTTTAAATTTTTTTATGAGCTTTGAATAGAATTTTGAGTTGTGTGTTTGGTTATGAGTTGTAAGTTTTTGTATCAAATATCATATGTCACATCGAAAATTTCCCACTCAATTCAAAACTCATTCACCAAACAAATTTTTCACACTCAAATCATAATTCCAAAACCCACAAACTCAAAATACAACTCCTATTTTCAAATTATATTTAGAAAACTCTACCAAACACTACCTAGGTTTGTCTAAAATCCTCAACATTATTTGCACACTCAACATAATTAAGTTAAAAATCATAAGAGAGTGTAGAAAATCCCTACCACAAAGTTAGAAGACGTGCAAAGCAAGGAGAAAACCTCAAAGACGCCGAAGCCAACTTTTGTTCGGATCAAAATGGAGCTCTTGAGATGCTCTATTTTTTTTTTTTTTCCAAAGACACTAGGGTAGAGAAAGCAACGTATCTAGGTGAAAATGTAGAAAGAAGCTCAAGATCTAGAGTTTTGAAATGTTTTAGAGAGAGAAAGAGATGAAAAAGTGATGAAAAATGTAGTTGTTTGATATACACAGTACGCTTGAGCGCAAAAGTTGACACTCGAGCGTCAGACACAATAAGTCGTTCCGCTCGAGCGCAAGAGGTGATGCTCGAGCGCAGGATGCACACTCCTAGTAGTCTTACAGACAACAGACCAACGCTTGAGCGAAAGAAGGGCCGCTCGAGTTAAGACCGCTTGAGCGCAGAAAAATCCGCTCAAGCATAGAACGCACTCTCCCAGTAATTTTGCAAACTTGCAAAATACTGAGAGTTCACAAATCATGCTTGAGCGCAAGAAGTACCGCTGGAGCAGAGGAGCAAAGTTCTGGCAATAAGAGTTTAGAAATCAAGCAAGCAACATGTCCCAAACGCAACCACAACAATCCTAAAGCCAAATTTAAGGAGATACAAGAGAAGTAGGATATAAACAACAACTTGGAACCAAGAAACCCGAGTCCAAGTGCAAAAAGGGTCGGGTTAAAATCGGAATCCTCCAAACCACTTCGGAAAAGAATGTATTTGTATGATTTTTATAATTGAATTGGTCAATACGAATTTATAAAATAAATAAAGTGAAGTGATATTACTAATAGTTGAGGGTATTTTAATAATGTAATTAATCCAAATATGCAAGAAAAACAAAATTATGAGGTAGACACCCACATCGTTGACTCGAAAAGCGTGTTACCAATGATTAGTAGGAAGGAAATATCTCAAGCACAAACTAAAATTGGTGAAGAAAATATATATACTTTTCAATAATATTCATTCTCTGGTTTTGATTTCTAAAATTTACTTTTCAGATTATTAAATTTTTTTATTTTTCATATTTTTTTGTTTTTACTAAATTTTTAAAAATATTTGTGAGCATTTTTTTAAAAAAAATTTAGATACACTTAACATAAATACACTTAAAAAGTATAATATTTGTGATTTTTTTAAAAAAAATTTACTAAATACCAAAAATACAAAAAAAAAAGAAGAATAATACGAGAATTCAGTATATTTTTCATATTCTTGTGTATTTATTGATTTTTAAAAATATTTGTTTACAAATATTTTATTTTCTAGATACATTTAAGTACGGTGCATCTAAGAAAGTAAAAAAATTACTTAAAATTTTAAAAATATTCACTAAAAACAAAAAAAATGAAAAATAAAAAACTCAATTTTTAAAAAATTGAATCCAAAAAATTAAAACCAAAAACACTGATTGTAACTCAGAAAAAAATATTTAAAAAATTAAAATATATTTACAGACCATAATTATTCTAGGTATCTACGCCATTCATCTGAATTTCGGAGTAAAATTCGAGACAAAATTTTACAGTGAATAGCATTTTCATATACTTTTCCACATCTTGTTCTTTACCGACCCAATATGTGGGGTGGATATCATTCCAAACGTACTTGAACCTGCTTTATCTCTTTTATTACGTTGTGTTTGGTTAGGGGATTTAGGAATCGATTTGAAAAGAGAAAAGTTATGAAATTAGGTAAAATATAGATATATTTTATTCACATTTCACCTACTTTTTCCATTTCCCTTTCCAAATCCATTCTCAAATCCCCCAACCAAACACAGCATTAGAGTTTTTTTTTTTTTAGCTACAGAAATTCATAAGTATATATGTTCCAACAACACGTCCAAGGAGGTCCCCATTGTGTTTGTCTATCATTCTAATAAGCAAAAGCTGTAATGGATGATCAACCGAGGAGTTGTTGGTGTTGTGCTATTGTTCTGGTTTTAACATCTCTCATGTGTTCCTCCTCATTCCACTTGGTGAATGCCCAGCCTGTGGATTATTCAATTGCCACTGTGTCCACTTCATGGACCATTAATGACGGTCCCCTACCGTTCATCAAAGCTTCAGACTTTTTATGGAGACCAATCCTAGTTCGAAGAGGCCTTCGATCGCGTTTTTCTCTCGCCTTCTGTTGCGATTTTGCATGCACTGCCTGCATCGTTGGTGTCCTCATCCAAAAACAAACTTCCATTGAACAAGATGCAATAACAAATGCCCCGCAACTAGTTTGGTCGGCTAATAGAAACCATCCTGTAAAACTTAACGCAACCTTGCAACTCACTCAGGATGGAAACTTGACTTTGTCAGACTCCGATGGCACTTCTTTCTGGTCTACATACACTGGCGGAGGAAATTACTCTGTCTCAGGCTTAAACTTGACTG